CGTGTGGAGCGCTGCAGACGGAGGAGTGGGGACAGTTCATGCACATCTGCGACGTGATCAACGCGACGGAGGAGGGGTGAGCGGGGCAGGGTGCTGCGGGTCCGGGGGAGCGAGGTCCCGCAGTCGAGGGGACCGGCCATGCCGTGGCCTGCCCTTTGTCCTGTGGGAGGCGAGAACTGCAGGGTTTTCGTCTCGGAGGTAGCACCAGCTGTTGCTCGAGGGCAGGGCAAAATCGAGCAGGCGGTGTATGATACATACATAAAGCGACCCAGAACGAAATAGCAGCAGGGAGCGGGTATCTTCGGTTCCTCGGGAAGAGTTTTCCCCATCTTGGTGTCCCTTGCTCAGCCGCCAGGACTTGCAGGAGTTAGACTTGTAGGCTCTTCCCCAAAGACAGGCGCCAGAGAAAGGTGATAACACAGGTTTCTCGCCCGAGTCCAGCATATTTCGTATAACCTGTACTGCTTGTCAGGAGGAACAGGTACCCTTGTGCTCTGCACAGCCCAGCTTGGAAAAAGACCTTGAGCACTTGGTTGCCTACAACCCGATTTAAAACTTTGTGCTTTTAACTTAATCAGAGTACCCCACTTCGCAATTTCTCAGCCAACCTACATCGGAGCAGGAGTGTAGCAGTGGCTGGGTTTCTGTTCAGGGATCCATCGTATCAATGCCTATACCTGGGGCTCCTGGGACAGAGGTGGCCTCTTGAACTCAACGGCCACGTTCTGCTTTGCTCGGCCACTTGCTGCTTTGTGCTTCCTTGTCCCCACCTGCAAAAGGGGAAGAAGGAAATTTGCTCTCATGTAAGATCTGCTTCAGCATTGCATTGAAAGAACTCACCGCTAGCAGTGGCAAATTTTAACAGCGACTGGAGAGCTTTATCTAGGAGAACAAGGTATGCCTTAGATTCTGCACAAGTATCTTTTTTCATATCAGCTTTTCCTTCCTTTAATTTTTTTGGGTTCCACACTCTCACCCATGGCTCTTGGAGCTTGGAAGGTCAGTAATAACTCCCTTCTGGTTATTGCCATAAGCAACAGCACGCTTTGTCCCTCAGTGTTAGCTTTTATGTGAGCTTCTATGCAACAGAGCTTTTGTTAATAAACTATTTCCTCTTGAGCACAGCCTCTGCTTACAGAGGAACTTCTTATAACTTCCTCCTAGGCAACTACTACTAGTCGCAGTCTGTAACAGGATACTAGGACCAGCAGAACTGCTGTATCTAATTAGGCAAATGGTTATTTTAATGCAGTATCCAGCTTCTGTCCAGAGCATTTCCAGATGCTTCAGTGAGAGAAGCAAGGAGCAGGAGTAGAATAGTAGTAGTATAGCTTTCCACAAGGGAAAGTTTTCTTCTCCGCTCTCGTGCTTCCATTCATCACTTGATGCTCTACTGGCATGGCACAGGATTAAGAAAAATAGAGAAATCTCTTCTTTTTTTTCTGATGAAGTACAACAACATTTCAAACTTTAAAATGCAGTAATGGTAAATACCCATTTCATTTAATTGGCTTTAAAATATTTTCAACAAAAAAATATTTTTTTCTTATTGAAACATTGTATTTATGCCTATTGCTGTATCTTAGATTCTAGAGAGATCCTAAAGACACGTTAGGACATCTTGGTTTTGTTGATCATGAGCATTGAGCTGGCCCTAATAATTGTACACTATAGATAGCCCTATTAATCAGGCAAAACTGTTTCCCACGTGATAGGCTTGATACCATCTTCTACCCTTTTCCTCCTACAAAGATACTGAAAGATATGTGGTGTATATATAGAAATCAAAATGACTGGGCTAGAAATGCCACTGTCTCTGGGGTAGAATGGGTTGTCCATCTGTACATGGTAATTATTCAGATAAGTTAAAAGCATCCTGCAATTATAAGACTGGAAATTAGCCAAGACATCCCTACTCCTGACAGCACTCCCAGGAGAATATTTTTTTCATTGCGTCATACATGAAAAATAGATACTAGTTGACTCTTGATACAGCTGTCAATTGTTATTCCTTTTCATAGCAATAAAAACTAGATAAGTAAATCTATTGTACAACAGTGAAATAATATAATTTTGGATGAGACTTTGCAGAGGAGAATAACTATTTCTCTGCAGTAAGGAACAGTCTGCAGTAACAAACCTAATTCACTGCTTTGTTACTCTAGCTCAGTGCTGAAGCAATTTTGCTGAAATCAGTGGGGCAATTGCTCTAGTTTTGTGTGGGTGTAAATACAGGGATGAATTTGGTCCCATATCTCAGGACAGTATTTTTGGATCTTGGACGAAGTTATGAATTAGAAAAACAGTCCAACTTCACTGGTAACTTCTGCTTAATTTCTTGTTACAGGCCTAAAGATGCAGTTAAAGCACTAAAGAAAAAGCTTTCAAAAAACTGTAACCATAAGGAGATCAAGCTTACCCTGTCTGTAAGTACAGCTATATTTATATTAATTAGACACTAAGAAGGAAAACATTTTAAACGATAAGGTGGCATGCAAATTATCACTGACACAACTCACTGGGATGTTTTCTTTGTTTGTGTGTACAGCACTACCACAGTGCAGATCAGATGGTCTACTGTGTTCATAGGGTCCTGGATGACACAAATTCTTAAATTTACTGTTGCGGGTTTTGTTGGGGTTTTTATTTTTTAAACCTGTACTACGTAAAAGTAGTATAGCTCTTCTTTACTCCAGTGACTGTCCCTCTGTGAGCGCCCCACCTATTTGTGAAAGATACGGAGGTTGGAATATTACATAAAAGCTACATTTGACCACTTTATTACTCACCTCATGGTACTGATCTTAGCTAAACTAAGCATGGTATGCAGCGTGGTGGAATGTGCGATACCTGTTGTGTGCAGGTAAGTGTTATCGCATAGGAGAGAGAAACTTGAATGAAAGGGTAACAATGGTGAGTTAAGGAAGGGAGCAAGACACAGGATAAGCTGCCTAAGATTCATATGTTATGACTGGCAATATCCTCATCTGAGATAAGCTGGCCTCCAGAATCTGACAGTGTTTCTGAACTATCTCAGAGTTTGGGGAAGTGTTACGATTTCAGTCAATGTAAGATTTACTGGAGTATGTTAACATAGTTCTCTCTTTTCCACTACGCTGACAATGTAGGCAGTAGCAGGAAGTTCCTAATGCTGTCATAAGTCCAGAGTTACCCACTTGAATCACTTTTGACTAGCAATAGTACAACTGTGAAAAGAATCATGCGATCTGTATTTTAAGTTGGGGATTTGTCTTTCATTATTTGTCTAAAAGTATTTTCTTCACCATTCCTTTTTTGAGGTTGTAGAGGCCTGTCTGCATGTACACTCTGAGTACTATTACTCATGGGTTTGGTATTTGTTGTGCAAAGTAGTTATCTATATCAATATGTGCTGAGAAGTGATTAAAGAAGATAGGTGATTGATAGTGTCAAATTGTAGGTCACTTAGCAATTGCCCAAGTGTCTCCTGACAAGTTAGAGATGCAGATAAATGTGTTAAACATACCCATGTATACCTTCAGCTCATTGCATTTCCGTACTTCCTTCCTGGCTTCCTGCTCCACTGTCTCATGAGTCACCTTTTTGTGTGTTCTCTTTGTTTGCATAACAGAAACACCTGGTTTCCACTGTAATTGCAATCCCTGTATCAGCTCTGCTTTCTTTCTCCTACAGTCTTCGTGCACCTTAGTCCTTTTTTGAACATCTGACACAACCAACTGGAGTTATGATAATCCAGTGCTTAGATTTAGGAGCCTTTCTTTGGGTATTTGCTCTGCAGATATACCCAAGGTAACGTTATAGTTTAGCTCTTAAGATCCTTCTCCCACTTTTATGGTTTTGTTTCAGGCATATCCAAGAAAGTGCTTTATCATGTTGACCTGGAAGCTCATTGTATTTGCTTGCAGACGGAGTGTGTACCAGGTTTTGGTTGTGCTTGTATTTCAACACTTTCTCACAGTCTCTTTACCGCTCCAGGCCCGTTCTCCATGTCTGTTCTCACCCCCTCACATGTACACATGTAACTGTGCCTGACAGGCAGTCGCATCCTTTTGGCCCAGCTTTTCTTTTCTGGCTATAGGTTTCTTCTCCCCGAGTTCCTGAATCTTTTTTGTTCCTTTTTTTTTTTTTTTTTCCTTTTCTTCTTTTTGTATAAGTGCCAGCCTTTCCTCTAACACTCTGTCTTCCTGGTTTGTTCTTATGTAAAATCTTCTACCCTTGCCTCCCTCTCTCTGCCCCACCTCCTTTCCTTTTGCTGGTGTTCTACCTATACTGCCATCAGTTTAGCAGGTGTAAAACCTTTCCTTTGATGACCTCATTGCTGACCATGTATGACTTTTAACTCCTTTGTTCCCAAATTAGTCTTTCAATGTGCAATATCTTCAGTTTTGGGTTCTTGATTACCTTAATGGAATTGTTCCTATTTCCCATTTTGAAATGCTTAGATTGGAACAGCAAATCATTGCAAATGGAAAAACAGGAATAATTTTCAATTCCTAAAACACAAACCCGTACTCCCCGTGCAACTCTTATCTCATAAAAATTGTTTTTCTCCTAAACTTCTGCAAAAATAAGGGTTCTTCTTTTAATTAACTGTAAGTTATTACCTGTGTTTCTGACGGTAAATGTGGTCCTCCAGCTTTTGAGACGCTATATCCAATTGTATCTCCTACCTACACCAGATACAACTAAGAAGGGCAACAGACCTACAAATCACTTTTCTTTTGACATGTATTTTGATCCACTTTCATTTACTCAACCTTGAAATTCTGGAATTTAATCTTTCTAATGAAACTGCTTAAGGGGCTTATTTCCAGAGAATACACACAGCATAAAATGTGAAAGTCTTAATCTGAAGTAGAACGACTGCACTTGTTAGCCCTGATTCTGACAATGAGACGTGTTAAATCTCAACAGCATCCTCCTCCTTCTGGCTCACAGATGCTTATTTATTTACTTGGAGGAAGAAGAGTGAGTGCCAGCTGTATAATGTGTTGCTTATGGCTTGACTTCATGTGCTGTGATCTACTGAAATTACGTGGTGTTTGTGAAGTCACGTGGATCGAGGTGTATGCGTGTCTGGCCATGAAGTTGCTTCATGCACAGTCTTTGATAGAGCCAAGAGATCAGGCTTGGCAGTGGTGATTTTGCAATCGGTGAAGAGGATTAGAACTTTTAGGCAGGAATCCAACGAAGTGTGTATGTGTTACTTGACTTCTTATTACTCATAGACTTTGGATACATAAACTCTGTTTATGTAATGAACACAGAGAGACCTGTTCAGTTGTCTCTGTAGATCTACCTTGGTTTTCTACAGCACTTACTGCAGTGCCCCAGTTGTGGTGTCTGTAAGGTCTTAGGAACTGAACAGTACATGGGGAAGTAGTTTATTAAATGTGTCCCTCTCTGTACCTGTGTCTACACACACACTCTGACGTACAACACAGTGGGCAGAAATTTAAGATGGAATTATTGTTTCATTTCTGCATTATGTTGTTGGAAAATATTGTAAAGCAAGTCATTGGTTAGATTTAAATTTTGGAGTTTGTTTTTTAGGGGTGGGGTTTTTTTTGCCTTAGGCTTTTTTCTGTTTTTCCTTTTAATATTCTATAAGTTTTCAGATGTAGAAAACACTTAGCATGGCAGATGTGGCCTTCAGATTTTCTTTTGTTAAATTAACATTTCACAAAGCAGAGGACCTAAAAAACAAAAACATGAGGGAGCCCTCCAGCTCCTCAATCAAAAAAGTCCTAGTCAATTTTATTACACTTTATGGTGTGTATGGGCAAAGAGGAATAGCAAAGGACAAAATGAGTGGGAGTAAAAGAAATCTATATTTCAATGTTTTTTTAATATATATATGTATAAATTTGAAAAATTCAAGACTTCTGAAAAATTAATATTCTTAAAATGCAGAATCTTCGTAAAGTCTACATAGCCTCTCCACTGTAATTGATGAACGGCAGCTGAAAAAGCTGCTCATACAGGTTTCTTTTAAATGCTGGCACTTGGAAATAGTGTCTTGCTGTTCAAAAAATCTACTGGGTAGACATCAGTATATGTTTACTTAGAGTGTAATCCTGGAGATGGAGTAATGACTTGTTCCCTTTGAGTCAGAAATAGGAAGAAGCAAACCAAACTGCTCATCTGTGTTTCCTCACACTCGCCTTAGGTCTGAGAAGTATCCATCACAAACTACATCCATGCATTACAACTTATGGACCATACCTGGCTGCTTTAGATGGGCAGATAGTGCTACTGAATTGGGTGAGGTCTCTATTGGTAAGGAATGTAGTTGACTTCCTGTCATCCCGGCCAACTTCTCACCTTTTTGTGTCTGCCTTACAGTTTGTCCTCACCTCTGTTCAGATGCCTCTTATCACTTTAGTTTTGTGTTGCTGTCATGTGAGCCAGAGGGCTTTGATTGTGTAATTCGCCCTCCTTTTTGCTTGGTGCAGATCTCTTCTCAGCTGGATGTCTGGTATCAGCTAGCCTGGAACATAGCAACTGTCAATTCCAACAGTTCTCAGGACCTGTCTGTCATTTAGAGGAAGTTTAATGCTTTGCTTGAAGTTAATTTGTCCATTCTGTTATTAAAACATGTTTCTATTGAGATTCCATTGTGCTATGTGGAGCAGTGGTTGACTTGCCACCTTGGATCTATTCATTCCGGTGGAACTGCTTGGGAAGGTGAAACCCTATTTGAAATGATAAATAACATACTGAAGTTCTAATGAAAGGTATTATTAGCATGAAAGTGGCTTGTTCATGAATGGTCCAGTTAAAAATAATTGAGTCAAATTCTTCTTTTTCCTTACACCAACTTAGTTTCACTCTGAGTGGGCTGTACTGGCATAATTGAGTGGAGGATCTAGCCCATTAGTTCAGTACTTTCATTCAAAGGGTAAATACTCAGTCCCTTAAGTAGGGAATTCATAATATGGAGTTGCATACCAAATTTCCCATGCACTGGGATGAAAATCTTTTACACAGACCATCTTTGAAGTACTGCACAGGCAAATGACTTGGTTTATTAGCATATGTTTCATGTACTCTCTCAAATGAAAAATAATGATTCGAGCCAAGATTTTTTTTTGTAATTATCTCTCAGTTTTTTGCACAGCAGTCTGCCAGTGTCTCTTTGTTCTACCCTGTTTTCATTTCAGCAATATATTTTCTTCTGGTTTTAAACCTCTTCTCCCATAAGTTCCTGATCACACTGGGAGAAAAATCCCCAAGTCCTGAGGCTAGAAAATGAGTTAATAAAATTATTTCAACTTAGTCAAATACAGTCTGCTCTGAATAGGAGAATATACTTAACCTACTTCTATTAACACTACAATAATGTCCTTTAAAATCTGTGTATCCTTTTCAGAATATATCCTGTCTGTTGCATGATTCCAGGGGAAGTTTCTTCTTGAAAACCATGAAATTTTGCAATCTTACTTAATTTTTATCCATCCTCCCTTTTAAATTGGGAGGGAAAGTAAAGATAAAGAGCAAGATAAAGGTTAAGGAGCAAAAAGCACAAGAGTGACCATTTTTTTCTATGTGGGGCATCATAGTCCTGTGGTCCATCTCCAGATTTGAGCCAGGCAAGATGAGTTCTGTTCCTGATTCTGCACCTGCTCTGACTGACCCCAGTTTCCTATCAAGACTCGTACTGGCCTGATTTCAGGTGACTGGGACATGATAACAGATTTTGATATCTCTTCTGTAAAATGGGAATTGTACTCGGCCACCTCCAGTTGTACAGGGGAGAAATATTATGTCATTATCACATACTGCTATATTTGAAAAGGCAGACATGTTGCTTGCATGGATCCTACTCTGAGCATTCTAAGCAGAGTTTTGGAAGTAGACTTCTTTCATGAAGATGAATCTGACGATTGGAACAGCTCAGCTATTCTGTTTCAAATCAGTGTGACCTTTAAAACGTGTGGAGAAATTGTAGTCAGAGTTGTTGAATTTGTTCTTTTCTATTTTTTCATTAGTCTCTCACTTACAGGGCAGATTAGGAGAGAGGCATTTAGTAATCTTATTTTCTTCTCTTGTAGAGCCCTTCAGAATCTGTCAGATAGGGTACCTATGTGCTAGACAGTGAATTAATTCTATTACTGAATCTGTCCAAGTCTTTTTTTTTTTTTTTTTTTTAAGCTATGGACAGATTTCATGCTGTTAAGGTCCCATATGTTCAGTAACTGCCATGATATGGAAACAAGTGTGACCATATTTCTCTGTTGTAAATGTATAACTCTGGCAAACGCATCTTATTTTGATTGTGCAGGTGTAACAGTGCACACAGTAAGCTACTGTTTCCCTGTAGTAACTTCATCAGACATTTTAGTAAGATGGCTGGCAATAATCTGTTCATGTCCATTTGCAGTCTTCCCCATAACACCTTGGAACAAATTAAACAAAAGGAAACAAAAGCAGTCAAGTTGGTTTTTTTGGATTTTTTTTTCCTTAGTATCTGTGTAACAGAAGCTTTTTGTCTGTGCAGTTGCTTGACATGTGTATAGAGAACTGTGGCCCAAGATTCCAGTCTTTAGTTGTGAAGAAGGATTTCTGCAAAGACAAGCTGGTGAAACTACTGAATCCAAGATACAATCTGCCAATTGACATGCAAGAGAAAATTTTGACCTTTATCATGGTAAGTCTAGAGTAAACAGCGTTTGTGTCTCTGCCGTATGATAAACCTTTAATGATGCAGCCCGCTTTTGTACTGTAGGCTCATGAGAACCCCTTCCTAAAGCAGACTTTATTGTTCCGCTCCTGCTTCATGCAGGAGTAGCATAGACTGGAAGACAAAGGGAGAGAACTGGAAAACTGTCAACCTCCACCTTCCCCTTTTCTATTCCCCTCCCGGTCTGTGTACATGCTCCCTCTGTGGTTGCACTTAACAAGCAGGATGAGAGGTAGCTTTGGAGCTCTTGTGGTTCCTGCTGCTTTGAATGGAGTTAGCTGGAGTGGATGGAGGCAATGACCTGCCTTTAGGACCATGTGTTTTAAAAGCACTTGTCAGACCCCCAGACTGTCCATTTCTGTGACTGTTATTGTTCCTGTTACTTCAAAACTAGACATGGGCACGAGGTTTCCAAGGAATGGTGGATGTGAGCGAAGTAAAAGAAGTTTATCTAGAACTGCTGAAGAAAGGAGTGGAGTTTCCGTCTTCTGACACCAGCAGAGGGGGACCTAAGGTGGGGATACACAAGGATACTTCATTAACCATTGAAAATCAGAAACAGGATGTGTTAATTGTATGAGCTCGATAGACAAAGAAGGTGTGTTTGTTTTGGGGGTTTTTTTAATTTAAACGCTCCAGGGCAGAATATGACCAACCTACTTAAGCACGTGAGCAGGAATCAGTTTCAATTATAACAGCTAAGATAACAACAAAGAAACCTGGCCTATGTAATAGTTTGTTTATTTTACTTTATTTCAAATCACAGACTAGTGGATAGGTTCTCAAAAAGGAAGCATCTCTTTCTTGAGAATTTCAAGGTGTGTAAAGGATTTGGGCACGTTGTTTACCTCAAAATGACTGTGAGCTAAATGCTCCAAACTTGTCAGCTTCTGAAAGCCTCAACTAAAATGAGTAAGATTTTCACAAAAACATGTACTGTTCAGAACTATAAGCTTTATCCGTCTTGAAAATTAAACCAAGAGAGGTAGAAATCTGTAAGAAAAAATTACTGTCTATGTATCTCTCCAGCTGTTTGCACAGCCTGCATACAATAAATGTTGTTTAAGCATATGTTATAGGTATCATTGCGTAGCATCTAGGGCATTAAGTGTAAGTATGGCTTGAGTGTTGGACATCAGCTGAAAATACAGTACATGTTTTAAAGCTATTCTTTCCAGAAGTTTTTCTTCTGTAAGAGTTTTGGGGGGGGGCGTGAAAGCCATCCACCACTGGGTGGAACCTTGCAATTACAGAATTACATGTCTATAATCGGTGCAGACAGGAATGATTCAGGTTTATCCTGAGTTCAATTTGACGGTTGAATAGTAGAGTGTACAAAAGTTTGTGTATTTAAAGGTTGTTTGAAGAAGCTGTGTGGAGAATGCGCTCAGTTTTTTTCTCTCACCAAGTACAGTAGAGACGATTGTCTTCCACATGTATCTGCTAATTAAATCAGTGGCAAACCTTCTGTTGAATGTAGCAACAGCAGACCTGAACACAATTTTTAGCTCAGTCTTTAGGAATTGAAGGACTTGAAGTGTGTAGTCTTGTGCGGGTTGGATTTTGGATTTGGATTTTTTTTTTCTCCCCAGCAGTTTGTTCAAATGCAGTGCAAGTGAAACTTTCTGCAAAAGTGTTCCAGCTTTTCAATCCAGAAGGCCTTTAGTTAATCTTCTGCAGAGACCCAGACTTTCCCCCCCAACCTTTCCACTGCTTCCAAGCGTGATTGCATTCTAAACTATCCTTCATTGCAAAATCGCAGTGGCACTTTGGGAAGGACTCTTGGCTGTTAGATGGCTTAAGAACTCGAGGGGATAGCCTGTTCTTAGTCATTCCCACTTCATTCTGTAATGGAATTTAGTTGCAAACCTATTCAAAAGATATCTGAATTCCAAGCCTCATTTCATCACAAAATAGCCATTAGATTTATTCTTGTAGATAGACCTTGCTGAACAAAATCACTGGGAGTATTGATTATGAGAAAGCTAATGCCCAATTGTCTAGTCTGACAAAGATGTTTTGTAGCTCTGATTTGGACGTCTGCTTCAATTCTTCTGTTAAACCCAAGCTGTGCCCTTTTATCTTTCCACAGACTTCATCTCAGCCTTCTACAAAGTCATCACCATCTTCTGCTAATCCTGCAAAGCGTTCTTTACTGCCTCTTCCCACAGGCCCAGCGTTACTGTTGACCCCTGAGCAGGTGCAGTATTACGGGTTTAGAGGGGGGTGGGTCCACTTGAAATGTACTGGCAATGTGTGATTTCGACAACCTGGGTGCATAGACCACTGGAAGGTACCATCTGTTCCAAGTGGCATAATTTATATTCATGGTTTCAGCTTTGTTCTCCTGAAGGTGTTTTATATGGTGGTGTGCCAAAGTAAAGTAGGCAATAAATGCCAGGCTGTAACCCAACCAGAAAGTGGAATCATTTACTCAAGCATGAGAATGATCCCCCATGACGTTGTTATGCGGATTGTTAAAAGTTATTTCAAATATAAGTGAAAAAGCCAAACTTACTTTTGCATAAGACTTGTATGAAGAGATTATTGTAAAAAGCAGAAAGGAACAGACAGTTCATTTTCATTCCTGTTTGGCCTATAGGTAACTAAAAAGAGTAACAGTAACATTAGTGAGTGGGATTAACTGTAAGGAAAACGAGTAGTGCTATCAGACTTGGATCTTAGTTTGATTGCACATATAAAAGCTGAGCTAATTCCATTCATTTTCATGGCATGTCACTGGAGTAAAATAATGCTAATTAGGCCCATATTATACCTAATGGGTAAGAAAGTACATGTTAGAGGTAAGAATTATTCTGCTCACTCTGTTCACCCACACAATATTCTGTTATGTTGAACTGAACAGATTGGGAAACTGTATAGTGAACTGGATATGGCAAAAATGAATGTGAGAGTCATGTCATCAATATTAAAAGAAAATGTTCCTGGCTCTGAAAATCCGGATGATATGAATCTTTTACAGGTATGCAATTATTCATTGGTAGGGGCTATTGGTTTGGTTTGGTCAAAGTTGGTTTTAAAATATGTTGTATCCTTTATTTTAATATCTGGATTCAGATTGCCAGATGGAATCTAACAACAGGTTTCTGTCTCTAGTTTTGCTCAGCTTTCTCTTGTCTCCTTCACCTTCCCCCGACATCTAGACAGTTGGGAAAGGACAATACAGCTTGCAATGCAAATTTAAGCTCTAGGGAATTCCAAGGGCGAAGGAATTTCATAATGGAGCGTTCTCTGTTAAACATGTTCTGTCAAACAGCCCTGAGAACATTCCAGTTGAACGCAGTTGCCTTGTGGGAAAACAGATGATGACACAGTCTCTCTCTCATATCCGTCCTGGCGTTTTCAGTGCTCTCTTTATTACTACCAGTACCTTAAGGGCAGGCTGAAGGCCAGTGAAGAATATGAAGCATTGGTTTTATGTGTGCGGCCTCAGAGATTGGGAGCTTGCTGTGCTGTAGATGAATCCACGTGCTCTTAAAGTGTAGCCTGAAGGAAATGTATTGCAATAGTCCAGTTTAAATTTGACAGTGAACATGCAGACATTCTTCTTTCTGTGGTGTCATTTCTTCCGCTTGCTCGTGCTGTATTTTCTATTTGAGAAATTAAAAATGCAGTATTACTTTAGCATTTCCATAGTGACCTATGTTAATGGACATTTTTATGTTTCATATTGTCTGCAAGAATTTAAAAACCTTTTATCACATCTTTCTGTTTCTAAGCTTATCTCCAAACTTCTGTGATGAGGAAGCATTTTGGTAATTTGTCAGCATTAAACGTGTTGGAGAACTGACTAATTTTTGCAAGCCTCCGGTGTGCTTCTCGTGCCCAGTGGAGAATTTTTCCTTTGCAAGTAACCCTTACTGGGTGTGTTGGTTTGCCTTCAAGGTCGTGCTGCTCAGCTGTGTCCCTTTATGGACTGGTTCATGGCTGGGGTGAGATACAGAAAGACAGCAGCAGCTCGCCGCTGCTTCTCATCTTTAATGGCAGGCAGTGCTGCTGGTCTGCGGGAACCAGACAGGGGAGGCAGATGCAACCTCATGGTTGTTGCTACCCTGGAAGGTCCTTGCATCTCCAGCACTCTCTCTGTTGCAGAGATTTGTGGAGTTACAAGTCCAAGAAGGAAGGGCCTGCAAAGCAGGGGTCTGAGCGGAGTAGACTTTTAAACACAGGCAAATAGCTGCTGTACTAGATTGCAGAGGGCTTGCTTTGCCTGCACAAAAGGATTGAGTATAGGTTGTTCAGCAATGGACACCGCCTAAGCAGCTAATCTATGGCTGTTCTATGCTCAATACTTTACTTCTGTAGTGCTACTGCAACCAGGGAGGTTGCCAAGGTGCAGACTGGCCTTGATGATTTAACCAACCAGTGAAAGATACACCAGGTAGGAGAACACACTGGTTTAATATACTTGGCCACCTCTGTCCAATCCATGACAAGGTAAGTGTTTCTCGTTGTGAAACCAGAAAGTATGTCTTTCATTTCCTATCTCCTACTATGGCCCTTCTGCTTGTGAGCGCACAGATTAGGTTGCCCACAGTAAACTGACGGATTCTCATTGACGCTCCCAGTAATGAAATTGTTGGCAAAAGTTTAAGGACAGAGTGTGGAGTTCCCATTTGTGGGAGAGAGACTAAAAACTCATTCCTTCTGTGTTAATTTCATTGTTGTTGTTTCTGATCTTTTCCCCTGTACACTGAGTGGTATAAGGCATCAAGCATGGCTAGCCTGCTCCTGTAACAGTGCTTAATAGTCCCTTTTGTTTGTAGCTCTACCTGGATTGCTTGGATTAGGCTTTTGTGTCAAAGAACAAAGTCCTTTATTAAAAGAGCTGCTTGTTTAGGCTTTGAGTGAGTTGGAGACGTTAATTTCAGTCCTTGTGATTATCCGGAGTCTCTCAATAAAAACTCTTAACAGGGTAAACTTCATCGGTGTAACATATTTTCAGTTCTGTAGCTTCATTAGTGGCTAGGCTCCTCCCTTTCTCCACCCTACTTTAGATAAGGCTCAAGATGGCAGATTTCACTTGAAATATTGTGCTGACCGGTAACAGTAGTTAAAGAATTGCTAAAACTCGGTATCAGCCAACAACAAACTTTTGTACTGGATAGTGAGTAGGCATACTTGATGGATATGCAGGAATTCAGGTCCAGATCATCAGCTGGTAAGAATTAGAACAAATTCATTGGAATCCCTGATGATTGTTGTACCAGCTGGTAGTCCATCATTGTAAAACTTCAGTTTTCAAAACATCAGAGTGCATGCATCATTGTGGGTAGGAGCAAAGCCTAGCAAATCCATGCTTGAAATCAGTGTCTCGGTTTCCTTCTCTTGAATATTGGTATTTACAAAGGAGCTAGTCTGCCTGTATAATGGAGTCATAAGAAATACACAGTTTTTTAAATGCAGATCAGGTAGTAAAGTGTGGAGTTGGAGAGGTTTTAAATTTAATTATAAACATTAAACTGAATATATTTGTGTGTTTTATCCTGGGCTATGAAGATACAGTACTGAAAGGTACAGTACTCTGTAATCCTTATGCAGATTTGGCAAAGGGATGCAAAATTTCTTTTTACATAAATAAAATAATTTATTTACATGAAGTATATGTGTTTTTGAGGAAAAATCAGACCACTTTGAAAACAATACCAGAGCAATTTCTGAACAGCAGTGTGCAAATAAAACAGAGTAATTTTCCCCCTCCTTTCCCCGCCCCCCTCCTTAAGCGCAGCCAGCCAGCATTTGCAAATGCACTGCGGGGGGGGGGGGGGGGGGGGCGGAATACTGGCTGAGTTGAAGTTCCTATTGCTAAAGAATTTGTTTCTTTGAACATGCAAAATCTGCAGTGGAAAAGAATATAAATAAATAGTCTTCCATTTCAACTGTCAATAATGCAAAATTCTACTCAGTAAACTCTCATCATTCTCCTATCAGCTGATTCTGCTAGGTTTGTGTTACTTTCTCAAAAAGTGCATAAATTAAGTGTATCCAAACGTCACCACTTAGAGAAATAGTTAGAGATAGAGACTTGTGTCACAGAGCACTTCTGTCCTTTAGACTAATACTGTCTTTTCTTCAGGCAGACATTGAATGGGATCACATCCATTACATCTATGTGAAGTATCCTGCTGAGTTTAATCAGATTCAGGCAGGATCAAATCAAATTTGCTTTGCATCACCCAGAGGGGTCTTTGTTATTTGCAAGTTAGACTTTAGAGACAGACATATCTTTAGAAATAAAGGTGGGTCAAGAGGTAGGGATTGGGTAGGAGTGTTGGCTGTGATGATAGGAGTTGTCAACCTGCCTTGCAGAGATCAAAGACATGAAAATTACGCTATTTGCAATGTTTGGTATGTGTGTGGTTTGTGTAAATTAAGGAATGTTACCTGTGAGCCTGCAGTGCTCAAGTGTCTTATCATTCGTCTCCAGAACTGACAAATTGGGACACTACAGTTGCGTTTTTGTTTGGGTTTTTTTTTCTTACCCTGCCTCAAGCAGAAATTGTATAAGACCTGTCGGATGATGCAGGAGAGGATCATGGAATTGTTGGTGACAGTGGAGAATGAAGATGTGATAGTTGAGTTAATACAAGTAAATGAAGATCTGAATAATGTCCTCCTAGGACATGAAAGGTAAGTACAGGGCCTCTCCCCTCATCCTTGGTATCCTAACTGAATAAGCATACTTAATGGACATGGATGGTCCCTATGTCTAATGTTGATCCTCCACAAGGAGACAGATGTTATCCTTAAATCCAGAAAAGAAACATGATTGCAAAGAGATAAAATGATGTATTTCCCTTCCCCTAAACACTTCAGAAACCTTCATAAAGGTAGTTAGAAAAACCATTAAAATAGGGTAAAACAAGTTAACAGCATAGACAGGAAATGAGATGAAGGCGCACAAAAATAATTTTGGAACTTGGCATTCCTTTTTGGTAGCACACAGTGAATTTGTCATCAGTCTGCTACAAACCCTTTGGTACTGGTGATGGTCCTTATCTCTGCTAAGTGTATATGCTTCCAGGAAAGAATACTTGTTCTCCTTTCTAAACAACTTTGACAGCTTTACTGCAGAAATTGGCCATGGAATAGCATTCTGCCTCATTGCATGCTTAAGAGAGTCGCTTGCTTTTCTCGACTGGAATGAAACATGCTGTTCTACTTGTTTTACAGCAGAAAATGTTTCTTTTTTTCACACATGGAAGCACTGCAGTGCTTGCATTGGCATCCTGAGTATTTGTCTATTATGTCACTGGCAGCATGACTAGCAAAACCGAAATTAATTTTAAACTTAAAATTCCAGTATTATGGCCCAAAATATCACACTGAGTATACTCATGGAGAGTATTAGGGTTTAATAGGAACTAGCCTTCCATGTTAAGTAGGTTATCTCCTCCATGGCTAAGAAATGTTCTAGAAATCATTATGCATGAAATGCAATGGTTCATGATTACATTTAGCAGATTTAGAGAGTTTAGTCATCTTTTTTAAACCTCTTCTGAATGCTGCACTGAAAATATCACTAATTCTTCTAAGTGTCATGGCACAAACTTTGGGCCTAATCTTGACAACATTTAGTTTTCATCTATCCTTAAAGCCTATGTCTGCAGCAGTGTTGGCATATTTTACAGTAACTGCCTTGGAAGAATTGTGTGCTTACTTCTTGCTTTAGGAAGTTTTTCATTTTAGTAAAGGAAAAACAGAATTCTGTTCAGCTTCTGTAAATCCACGGTAAATCAGATGTGGGCTTACTTTTTTGTTACAACTGATGAATACCAGCAAGGGCAAGAATATCTTGAATAATGAATAATAAATAGCTTGAGGGTATAATTCAGCAAATTCCTTGTGAAAGACTCACCTGGTGACCAAAGGAACAATTAATTGGCCATTGTGAAACTGAACAGAAAACTACTGCATTTTAGTACTATAATGTTAGGGTTTACATGTAACGAGTTTTCCCGGGTGCAGGTGCATTGTACTTTAGAGTTGATAAATATTAAAATGTATTTGGTTAATGCTTGTTGCAGAAGATTTGTTCTTTGGAACTACATCTGAACAATGAGATGTGTAAAGGACAAACTGATTTTAACGAGCTGCATCTGGTTCATACCATGTGTATTGTTTGAAGACAAGTCATGCTGCATTCTCCGTTTCTGATTACTAACATAGAGTCCAAATTAAACTGGGAGTAATCACCATTGTGCAATAAACTGGCCTCATGTATGTAGCGATGACTCCCTCTAGTGACTCCATCAACTTTTTGGGTTTTCCTGCATTTTGGATAAATATTCTATGTTCTGCAGTTGGAAAGGTTTTTTTTCTTCTGTTCCTCCCTGCCTTCTCTGTCGGCTGCACTGGTATGGTACCCCTGAGTAGCAAATGCAGTTGTGTAGACAGTCTCATGTCTGTGCTATGTAGGGCTCTTACTTCTGAAATGGACTGTACCTTATGGATGCTGAATATCACTTCACTGGGTCTTCTCTGGGCCGAGTGTAGCACTGTTATGACTCCCAGTACATACATACTTATGCAGGGTTTTTTTTGTTTCCTTTTTTAAAAAAAAATACTTCAAATGCCTGAACTATGAGAGGGCTGCATCCCGTACAGCTGTGTGGTTTGTCCTGACATGGCATGAGGGAATGTGGGGACCTCAGGACAGAAGGCTTCCTGGGATTCGGTTGGAAGACTGTTCTGGTCAAAAGGAGGCAGATTTGGCCCAGTGCGTGTTCATAGTTACCTTCTGGTGTGAACAGAAGCGAACATCATTGTCAGCTGTGCCTTGGTTTTGTTTTGGAAGAAACAGATACCTGTTGCCAAAAGTGAGCCCAAGAAAAAACTAACTGGTGTTAGTATAGGTCATCAGTGGATCACAGCTCTGGAATAGAGGGAGTCAAATTGCTAGTGCAGAGAGAAATGCCCCTGAGAAAAGCACCTATAGTGCTTGTTTGGCACCTCTGGAGTCCCTTGGTAATTGAACTTAGGTTGTAACTGGTTTCACGTTCTGACGAACAACATCACAGAAATGCCGAAATGAACATTTAACTTTGCGACTTCAACAGGTTCTCTCGAAACAGAGTTCGTTTTTTGGAGAATCAGAGAATACAACGTGAGCGCACAGAAGTGAGTAATATAGATGAACTTGTGAACTGCAGGACTAAACATTCCTTTTTCTGTTTGTTGTGAAAAATACATTTTTGATATACGCAGAATTTTATTCTGTAGTTGAGAGGCATAGGAGAGAGCAGGCTGATGCTACTCTTACCAATTTTCGAAAGTCTCACTGGCAGAATTTAATTCAAATTCATGTAAGTAAAGTAACAAATAACGTCAAATCTAAGATGGAAGCTTGGTCAGGAAAAAGAGAGAGAGATCTGTTCAAATGCTGGTTTTTTACCTCTACAGCTAAGCGCTATTACCTGCCATACACAAAATGAGGAACCATAATGTTTCTTTTCATTTGTTCTCTGATAAGCATTTATAGACTGAAATACTGTTACACTACCAGAATTCACTATTACTTATCCTTTTTTCTGAATCAAAGCTTTTTCTGAATTGTGAATAATGGTTTGTATTTTGTATTTTTTTGTATTTTATTGATTGATAGATAATTATGGTTGTTAATTATATTGCCCAAAGTAGTTTTGCATGTTTCAGCTTCTGCTAATTCATAATTGTGTAGTCATTTGGGACTCAATATGAAAATGACTGCATCGTGAACACTGAAATACAGCTGACAATTATTAAAAAAAGGTAGATGACAATCTTGTTTTCCTTGAAAAGCTGCTACTACTACATTCTGGTTATGTAGGTGGATGTTTTTGCTTGATGGGTGCACTGTTGGATTAGTTATTAATCCAAATGGTGCAGTCTGTGCATTTTTATACTATTGAAGAGTCTTCAAGTTTAAAATGCATCATCTTTTCTTTTCTTTTTTTTTTTTAATCTGATGTGACCAAACCCATATTATTCAAGCAGATGGTTTTATTAAAATCTTTGGTTGGCAACATTTTTAATTCTAACACGTTCGCAGAAGAAACAAAGGGAGGCCTTTGTGGTGTCCTAGGAAACACTGTTGTGATTTTGAACTTTTCCTATCCAAAAGAAGACTGAAAAAAATCAATCTCTTAAGTATGTATCAAATCACAATAACACAAATAAGCAGCATGAAAATAATTGTACAGGATCAATCAGAAGATCGATATCAAATCTGTATCTAAACAAGATCACAGTTGCTTTTTAGAATTGAGTCCATTCTATTTCCTGTTTGGGAATTTTTTCTCTTAATTTTTTGAAATAACCCTGCCAAAACTGATCTTTTTGGGAAAGCATTTTTTGTTTCATTAGCTATCTTTCACACAAAAAAAGTAATCCAGGTTTTCTCTCATACTTGCCAATTTTTAATATTATGATTGTAAAAATTTATATTCTGTGAAAATAGCAATTTGTTTAAAACTATACAAGTTCCTTAAAAAAAAAAAAAAAAAAAAAACACAACAACAACAAACCCAAACAACTTTATTCCTTTTCAAATGTTAAGCTGTACAGGAAACAGCCATCTGCTCCTTCAAGTGATCTACTTGACCTCTCCATAGATTCTCCATCTCCTGTGTCAACAGTGGTGGAAACTGGCTCTGCAGTGTCTCCTTCAGGCCTTAGTAAGTGATGAATGCACGTTTCCTTTGTAGTCTGGTTTCCTAAAGCAAACCAACATGAGCTTGGTGGAGGAATCAAGAAGTTCATTATAAGAAGGAAAACAAAAGTACTCCTTAACTTTAGGGATGTTCCTTCAATCTCTTCAAAAGGAGGACTGACGTGTGTACATAAGGGGAAAAAAAAAGTAAGAAAGTATAAGATTCCCTGTAATTTGTTTACAGTAGAAGCAATACTCTTCCCCACCCCACCCCCCCTTATGTAAATTTGAACAGCAGAACGTGCTCTGTTTCCTATTACAACGAAGCCAGTCTGGTAGTTGCTTGTTCTGTAGGCTTGGAAGAAAGAAATACAGATAGCTTTTCTCATACACTCTTGATGTCCTAAGTTTTTTCAGGAGACACTTGGTGTTAGAAACAGTTCACTTGGAGAAGGGTACTCATTTCCTCTAACTTCAGGCTTCGTTCATAGTCAGAGGAGTGAGTCAAGGTGCTAACTTTGGTACTCAGAATTACTGTTTGCAGAAGCCCTGCCTTTATGCACTCTAGGGGAGTCCCGATACTGAAGTTAAAGGTGCGAACGCCCCCCCCAGGAATAAATGCCTATAATTCCATTTTAATCTTTTAGAAATAGTGAAGGGAGTTCTAAGTGGTATCTACCACATATAGCACTACTGATGATGTTCTGACATTTTAAGGAGATAAATATATTGCATCTAAAATTAAAATTTTGCCTTTCATATGATAAACAGCAATTTGTTTCAGACTCTTTATATGCCTTCCAAACAAAACTTTACCCTTTCGATGTTCATAGTACAAGTAACTAACATTTGCTTAATAATGTTTAAGTGAGCATTACTTATCACTTTGAATTTCAGATTGCATATCTGCACACCCTGAAGATAAAAACAGGCATCATCCATCAATTTATCCACAGATAGATTTAGCAACTACTACAAAAGCTCAGCAATTCCTGTGAGTAATCTCTTATCAAGAAATGGTAACAGTTCTTCAGAGGTAATTGTACTTTGTAATTCCTCTAATGAGTTTATAGAAAGCTCTGAGAACACGGGTTTACTACTTTTACACATTAGTCCAGAAAAACAAGCGAAAACTACCTGTGTGCTAGACATTGCTTAAAAATACACTACTCTTGCAGCACTGGTTAGTCATAGGCGTAAGTTTATCTGAGTGGTCAAAACATGCTTGACATATATATGGCTTTCTGCTTGAGTGTTGACAGTGCTGCAGTGAAAGGAAGAAACGGATAAATTGTACAGGTCAGTGAGAAGAGTTTAAGATAGGAGAGGTGTCTGTGTAGTTCCCCACCTTTTATGTGAATGGGACAGTGGCCCATGTTGCTCTCAGTTCTGACATAAGGTAAAGACAGACCGGCAAAAAAATAATGTAACAGTCAGAATATACAGTTTTGATAGTTTCTCAGTTACTTTCAATGTATTACTCTTTCCTAGATTTGCAACTGAAGCACAAAACAATAGTGTAAGCAACCCACCTGGACACTCATATAGCAATGTGAGTAACACTCATGTTCAGAATAATCGTTCTTCGCTGGCAACTGTCAAAATGAGAACTGTTTGGATTTACCCCGACTACTGTCCAAATGGGATACAGTGATCTATTCTGTGCCCTTCTCCATACATCAGGGAACACTGGTATTTGGTGACCAGGCCAAGTTTCCTCTTTTGATACCACAGATGCTAATATGAAAGCATATTTTCTTGGGTCCAGCAGAATCTCAGGAGAGTTTGCAGAAAGTAGTTGCTGTATTATTTGTGTTTAATCTGTTCCTGTGTGACGTAAGCTGAGATGTCTGCCTGCTGCCATTATGTTAACTCTGGTGTATTTCGTATCTCAAATAAGATAATTAAAAAAAAACCCCACCAAACAACCCACCAAAAAACCCAACACTGTAAGGACAAATGGTATATGCTGTGGACAAAACACCCATGACAGAAGCAATGGAAACAGTATTCAGGGGCTTTGAGGTAATGTTATGAATGTGAATGCTATTCTGTGGTAGGCAGTATGAAATAGAAAAGATGAGAAGCAGCCCCCAAACACACACACACATTCCCTATTTTAAACCGCAAGTAAAAGCAGGTGCCTGTATTGTGAATGCCGTGGTCTTTGAGTCTGTGTAATGTAACAAATCATGCAGAAGTAAGTTATACAAATGTGCCACAGATAACACCAAAAGATGTTTTGAACTTTTTGTGGAATATGGCAGTTAATGAGATTGGGAGCTGTTGACCTTGGAATTTACCTGGTACAGTCTGAGAGTCTAAAGATAAGTCTGCAGTTATGCAAGTTAAGTCAGCTCTCATAGAACTGAACAATCTATTTATGCACTGCTTTGCTTGATGTCCTTAGTTGGTGACTCCTTTAAGCCCAGTGCCTCTGAATCCAGTGAATCTGCAGACCGGACATACTACATCATTAAATGGACCATCACCAGCAGGTAATAAGTACTGCAGACCACCTAAGTTTCATGGAGATAGGTTTTTCTTGTCAGAACTTAAGGGCTTTATGTGATGGCTGTTAAAGACTAGGAGCAGCAACAAACATTGATAAAATCTCTGTTGCTCATGGCTTCTCTTAGACATGTCAGTCCATTTTTGCATTTAAAGCAACTAGATACATAGGAGATAATCTGCTACTTTCAGGAAGATACAAGAAAGTAACATGCAGTAAGCATGCTTTTCATTTACATTTAAATCTGGATTTATCTGCCTGTATTCTTCAGCTGCATCAAAGAACAAGTCACAGTCACCTCATTACTACGAGATAATGGAATTTGATCCCTTGGCTCCAACTGAGTAAGTAACTCTTAAAACAGATAATAAACAGTTTTCTTAGGTGCCAAAGGCAAGAAGGCTTCCGAGATGGCTTTTTCTTCTGAGTGAGAAAACAGACCATGCTATTTAGACTGAGTTAGCTGACCAGCTGGATTGCTAATGTAAATTAGCAATTTACATTAGAGAATGGCTGCGTTTTGTACATTTTCTTCCAATATTTCTGGCATAACCAATTAAGGAATAAACTCCTATACTGTGTTCATTGAATGGCATCTGTAAAAACGGTGGAGTAATGCTGTGTCAAAAACAATCTGCTAAAATCCTATTCAGTGATATGAAGAGGTGAATAAAACATGGTAAGGGTCCTGGAGGAGGAAGCTGATTGACACTTCGACACAGGGAGTTCTAAACCAAGGTAACCAAAATAATTCCTGCTCAGAGCAATCGTGATTTTTTTAAGGATGATGTTCTACTGCATATCAAGAAAATCCTTAATTTAAATACAAGCTACAAAAGAGAATAGATGCTGGGACTCTCCAGAGGGCCAAATAGTCAGATAGAAAACTAATACGAAACTAAACAGATGGCAGAACTCTCCTTTCTACCAGTAAAAATTTGAGGCATCTACACAAAACTTATTTCTCAGGAACCATCGAATTCTGAGGTAGAAAAAATCTCAACAAAGCTTTTTTTTTTTTTTGAACTAGTGCAGTAATTGCATGCCACGTGCTATGCTTACCATTTGCGTTTTGCAGTCCTGTTCCCAGACTTTCTTCACCAAAAGTGACAATCGCCGGAGGTATCAGGTTAAATGTATAATCACACACATGATTGGCTCTTTGTTCCCATGGAAACTTGGACTTCCTGCAACTCATGCTACTCCGTTGGACAAACACCATAAACTCTTGGCAGTTCATGCTTTGGGCAGGATTTCGTTGGTGTATTTTGTCAAAATTAAACTACTGTGATGTAGGAGTCATCCTGTTCCTCTTCTTTCAGAGCTATTTATGAAGAAATTGATGATGTGCTGAAGACAGAAGTTAAAAAGAACACAGAATGCTGAAGGCAGAGGTGAAGTCTTTTATGGAACATGTTATTCTCTGATGCTGGTCCTGTGTAGTGCTCAGAATGGGTTTTGTATTTTGACACAACAGAAAATAAGTATTGGAATACTGAGCTATGTGGAAGTTCAAGTTATTTAAACCTACACCTTGATAACTTGTCCTAAATGTTCAACTGTGTATTCTTCAGGGTGACTTGCATGATTATTTTTGAAGTATTGGGGCCTTTAAAATAGGATTTCCAAAGTCACCCACATATGAAGTAACACTTGACACCTGACACAAGTAAACAAAAAGGACTCTGGCAATTATAGAAGAAAGCTTTTCTTCCAAGTTAACTGTTCTTTTGTATTGCTTTACCCCTTTATGCAGCAAACAAAACAGAACGTTACTTTTACAGAAACTGCAGAATCCAATTTCGATTTTGGCCTCGTTGCTGTGTGTGTTCATCTCTCTAAAATTTGTAAGAGGGTTTTGTTGTGTAGACTTTTTCTAAAATTGGGCCTCTTGATAGGTGTCAGAAGACATGCAGTGTTACTTTCCTACGGTCATATTCTGGATACAGATTTTGTTTCCTTCCTAAAAGCCCACAATATAGTTGGATTTTTGTATTGGTAAGAGCCTGAGCTGGGACATGAGGTGCTGTCATCCATGATTAACAGAACAGAAAAAACCCTGCTTGTTCTGATGTTGTTGTTGTTGTTGCTTTCGTTTACTCAGTAAATATTGGAGAGGGATCAATCATTTCTTTCAATGTTCATGCCCTGCAGAGATTGCTGTTCTGGTGAAGGAAAAAATAATCATCTACAATGCAGATGAGCAATAGTAACTCATGTATTTTAATCAAGTTGTTTAACCCTGTTAATAACAGTTTTATCTTTTAATAATTGAAGTGCCTTATCTATTTTAATGCTGAATGTAAAATGTGCACTTTAACAGGTATAGTTCTCTGAATTTATAATTATAAAATTTGAGAACTTTGTTCACGTTCATAGCTGATAAGCTAAATTTTTTGTGAAATACTACATTTTAAATGTTCATTATGTTAATTGTTTAAGTGGTAAGACGTTCTCAGTTATGCAATTTTTGTAGCATAAAATTCCAAATAAAAGCAAACGCTTACTGAAAAGTTAACCCCCATCACTTTTGAGTTTTTACCAGATGACGTGTATTCCATGAAATACCAAATGCAGGTAGTATTGGCAGTATTTTAATGTGAATCCATGCTGTTTCTTTGCATGGTTAGCAATTTTGCAGCTTGCTGTAGGGCTGTTAGAAGTTCTTCTATCAAAAAGACAACCTTGAAGGTTGGGGGGGGGGGGGGGGTGTTGTAAGCAGAGGTGAAAAGGTAAGCTGCTTTATTATTATTTTTCTTGTATTACTTGGTCTGGATAGCAGCCTGAGAAAACTGCTTGAAAATAGGATTTGAGGTGTATTGATTTTTCCCTGTAGCTTAGTTACATTGTTAAAACCCTAGCACACTGAAGTGTAGCAAATTAAAATAGGCTATTTCAATATGGTAATCCATAATGGCTGATTGCTAACTGAACGTTTGCATATATAAGGAAGCAAAAGGGTCACAGATGGATGAAAACTCTGAAGCGGAGTGGCTAATTACCGAGGTTAGAGAGCTTGTTTAATAGTTAGACTGTGCTCACTATCTGTTCAAACTTAAGCTTTCAAACTCAGGGAAAACCCCATGTTTTTATGAAACCGGTGCTTGCTGGGGATGTTCCTTTTCTTTTGAAGTACGTGGCCAGAATAAAGCAATGTGTGGAAAACTCTCATAATCGGTTCAACTTTCAGAAACAAAATGGCCTAAAGACAACCCAGGTAAGAATTTCTTCCCCCCACCCCAGCCTGGAGTCAAAAGATTTGTCTTTATTTCTCCTCCCTGCCCACCCCACCCCCCCCCAAGCATAACTGGAATTATAGATGATAAAGCTTGCTATCTTCATACAGATGCATTTCACTTGTGTGGGCTCTACCTGTTCTGCTGAATAAAAAGCATTAGAGAGATGAAAGAATGAAAAGTTTTAAAAATTTAATAAATACACAGTGAAGACCTGATGTCATCCAGAATCTATTTAAACAACACATAATTGGTACAATCATGCATTTTAAAGGCAGCATCCATGTATTTTCAAAAAAAGCACTTTTTAAATTACTCTCAATTATGTTTGCATACCGTAAAGTAACTGGAAGCTATTTCTGATATACTCATTACCTTTTTAGAGTCCAAACAAACCAACACTAGTCTTAATTACATCTCATCTGCTGAAAAAGGTAGAAAGAACTGGCCTAGCAGATGAGATACTGGGCTGAGATTAATTCCTGTCTGAAAATGAGTAGGTCACTTAAACTTGCTCTGCAACAAACTCCTCATTTGCAAAGCTATGGTAAGTGTCATTATCCCTACCCACAGATAACGACCCAAAGTTGCATAAATACAGGCTTACGTGTTCTGATGGTAAGCGGAGTACCTAGGAGTACCTCTGAACAACTGACAGGCTTCTGGGCAGGCTTTGTCAGACTTAACCTCTGAATGGGATTGGTTTCCTTTTGGTTTTTGAGGAGATTCCTATGCTATTAATTTAGCCTGCAATTTAGAGCAGTTGTTTATGTACTGCCTTTCCCTTCAAAGCATTTCATACGTAAGCCAAGCTTGTCCCTGTGTAGAGATGCCCAGTGTACAGCCCTCTGTGGAGTGAAAGAGCAGTCATTAGCAGTACAGATTAAATGAGTTGAACACAACATCGAAGTTTGAAGACGGTATTTCTAAATGGAAACCATACCACAGATTTGACGTGCTTACATTTAAATTACTGTTCCTCATTCAGATGATAACAGTTTGAGAGCAATCTGCTCCTACCAAATGAACTACTGATTCAGTAATAATTTGAGAGGGTACATCACCTTCTGAATCATCATATCCTCTTGTGCCATGGGAAGCTTCCATAGCAATACAGTCTAACTTAGTTTTGAGATTTCATGAACTGATCAAGTTATACTTTATAAAAAGGTAGAAACAGGTACATGGAAGTTAGTTATTCTTCAGAGCCAGCAATGCAATTTTAGATGCTTAATAAACTTTTTTTTTCCTCTCTATTTAAATACAGATCTCAGTTTACACTTGGATTTAAAAATTGGCCTCACAGTATTCAGATAACAAGTATCATCTTATAAAAGATGGCTTGAGAAAACCCTCTCTCTTCCAGGAACAGCATGTTCCCTTCTATTGTCTGATGACTAAATACTATTCCTAAGAAATAATATTCCAACTACGTTAAATTTAAAAAAAATAGAAATACATCCTTTCATAACAGCAACATGTGCTCTTGGTTGTTTAATAATATAATCTCATATTGCACAGTACTCCTGCAGTTTTTCCTTCCACAGAAAAACAGTTTCAAAACTGGTAGTCAGGTAGCAGAAGTCAATTTGTGTACAGATTGCCCATTAGTGATATCCAGGAAGTGGTAACTTCTGTCCTTCCTTTGCTTCAAAAAAGGTGTAAGAGAGTGTGATCAAATCAACTTTAGCCATTTTAGGGTCCTCCACAAATTCTGGATCAATGTAGAAAAAGACAGGCATGTCCACTTCCTCTTGAGGATTTAGCCGCTGTTCTTCAAAACAAAAACACTGCAGGCAGGAGGGGAAAAAAATTAGGCAATAGCAACTATGGTAAACTTCATCTCAGCCAACATGACAGAAAGCTTAATCTTCTAAACTCAACTCTCATTCCCTGTGCATCCTTAAAATCCTGGGAAGGATCAACCCTATGAGCAACGAGACAGCAATTCTGTTCCTCTTGTGCTCCAGGAAAACAGCTTTTAATGAAGTGTCCAAATTGGCCAGACTAACTCACATCATTACCACCTGCCTTCAAAAGGTGGTGGTACCAAATATCATGTATTTGGGAGCTACTCTCATTGGATATGTACTGCAGCTTGTTATGAAGACAGTAAGGCTAAGAATGAACTCACTGAAAAAATCCAAGGTATTTTCTTAGAATATTGGCATACAAAGAATGGTATCCAGGACTAAAATCAGAAAAGTTAATTTATGGTTAACTATTCTCATTCATGTAAAGGAAAACATAATCTTTGCTTTGTTCACACTTACTTGTATTTTGTTGAAATACTGTCCTGCTTCAAAGGGTATTACATTGTAGGTAGAGATTCCAATTACTGGTTTGTCAGTAGGATTTTTTGCTTTATAAAATGCCAGTGCCGTCTCTCCTGGTACCACCTGTATAAAGTAAATGCAGAGTGACTTTTAATCCACTGCAGCCCTCTACCCCTCAAACACAGTTCTTTAGAATTTAGCTAGAATGAGTTTGTTTTCTTGTTAGCTGTTTCAAGCTGGTTACTTCACTACTTCCCAAATATTTTGCTTCTAGACAATTCACCCCCATTCAAAACTAAAAGCACCAGTAATGTCATACATGTGCATTTCTTACCAAGTTTGCCACTGAGACTTCTATTATTCTCAGCAGTTGAGCAGCATACAGGGATTTTCTAATAGGTGAGTTTATACATGATGTACACTTTGTTTTTAAGGTTATCACTCTTCCAATACTGGACTCAGAAACTAATTAAGAAGCATAACTCCTTTGGAGAGTTTTTATTAAGAACTAATTTTAAACAGTCATGTTAGATTAAAATTTTTTTTTTTTTTTTCAATATAAACACAGTCCTACAAAGATAGAGGCAGGAAGAGAAAGTACTAGGGGGAAAGTTTGGAAAAACCTCACAGGTTTAAATACACAGCTACACCACATGCATTTTATACACATATATATATATATACACACACACTTCATGGTGTACAAAAACTTCTGCAGTGGAAGCTCCCGGGACCAACGTGCCCCGTTATGCGCTTTTCCAGGTCCGGGCCCAGCCACGCGATGCAGGGCGCAGCGCCCCAGGTGACAGAAACGTACCGCGGCGCAACCGGCCGCTCCCACCCCTCGGCTGCAGGCGCGAGCGGCCCTGTGCGA